CGGCCCACCGAGCTTTTCTCGGTAGCTCGCCGTCCCAATCCGGGCCTGGCTTTATGAACTTTTTACTGACCGTTTCAAAATTTTCTACGAACTTCCACAAAACGCTCATACAAACGTCAAATAAACGTTTATAAAACTTCTCATTTTCGTCAGGGATGCCAGATGAATAATCGAGTTTTTTATTGACTATAAAATTTAATCTTGTTTTTTTAAAAAATTAGTTGTGAGGGACAATTATTCGATAACAAAAAATCTGTCTATAAAATTTAAGGTTTTTTGAACTTACGGAATGACGGATGCGATAAGAACATCGTTCTATCAACTTATGATGGTACTGGTAATTTTTTGTGAAATTGAATGAACAAACATTTCAGTGGAAGTAGAATAAAAAATTAAAAAATTTTTTTTTTAGAAAGTGATCTTACGATATCAATCAAAAGTCAATTTCATCGTTAGAATTAATTAACGTGTTTTTAATTTCACACCTAAAAACCTTCGATCAAAAAAAAAGAATAACAAGAAAAAACGAAACATAATTTTTGTACATCACACTGATAACTATACACATTACGTTTGTGTTTACATTATACTCATACAGCCTTGAGAATCTTAATAAAAGAGAGCTGCAAACAATAGTTTTTCAGTTGGCTCTGCTCAGTTCAACCTTCCGCATTATAACAGACGGGAATTTTTTTGTAACAAAATTAATCACAAGTAAGTTGTCTTGCAAATCGAAATAATCGATTTAGCACCGCGCGCATATACATATATATATTTGACGTGGTTTAACTTTACATTATGCAATTATCATTTACGTGTGATATTTTCGGTCACTTTGTCGATAATTCTTCAATGTGAGAACTATATTGGTGTTTCTTCCGTCCAGAGTGAGAGAGTGAAGTATGAAAAGCGCTACTAGAATAGCCAGGAAAAAATGCACCAGAAATTACACCAATAATGTCTCGATAATATCTTAACAATGCAACTTTATAGCTGAAGACCCCAGGGGAAGAACTTGATAAGTCACATTTTCGTAATTTTAGAGAGAAGTTCGATTTTAAAAGTTCGAGATTGTATTTTTGTATTTTACACGTTTTATAAAAATGTTTACATCTCGGAATTTGTATCAAAAAGTTTCCTTTCTCGCTTTGGATGATTAAAACACTCCATTTTGACTATAAAATAACATCAAAAACAGAAAATTGAAAAACAAAAATTGACTTATCAAGTTCTTCCACCGTGACCTTCATATGTGCAAATGCGTTAACATCTTGATATAACTTGTCATTATATTTTTTAGAAATTAAAACGTCGTACCGCCTGTTTTTTTTGGCATTTTGTATAAACAATTTTTTGTCTGTAACGACGTTATTATATTGCAACATGTACTTTATTACGTGTTATAGCATCTGTTTTTTGTCTGTGTACCGCGTGCATGACGTTAAAAAACCAACAGTCACGATGTTTCTTTTATTTGATCTCGAGTGCCTTTCTTTGAATAATATACAAAAACAATTTTAAATAAATAAACGTTTGAGATGTAAATATGCTCAAATATATGTTGCAGCTTCGATAGGTGTGAAACGCTACATCGATATATTGTTTTCGTTTCTTTCTCATAGGAAATGTAAAAAAACACAAAAATTGCACACACATATATATGTCAAATTTGATCTTTGTGTTCTCGGGCTTTTTGTTTGCGGCTCACTTTTCCAATTCAAACACGATTAACATGTTTTTTCACACTATTTTTGTAACAATTACATTATTGGCTGCAACTATTTTCATCGATGTTTTTAAAATGTACACCTTGTTTTTTTTTCGATAACAAGAATTTAAGTTAAAAATATTATTTTTTTTCAGAGTCCGCCATGAGCAAGACTAGAATACCTGTAACCGTGCGTGAGGGACGACTGATCGGTACTGTTGAGGAAAGTTATTGCGGTCGTTATATTTCCTTTAAAGGAATACCTTACGCAACACCTCCAGTCGGCGATCTCAGATTTAAGGTGAATGAAATCCGTTTTCTTAAATTTCGATATTTGCACTGTTAACACTATCTTAGAACTACCGAAGCAGTCAAAATGATTGGTAATAATAACTTTTCATTTAAAACTTACTCAAATTAATGGCTTTGCATTTTAGAAATTTTTAAGGACAAATTGATAAACTTAATTCTTTATATATTGCAAAAAAGTTTAATAAAAAATTTCTAAAATGCAATATATAGAGTAAGTAACTTACTCATAAATTAGAGTAAGTTTTAAATAAAAATCTAAAACCAGTCGGTAGTTCATAGTTGTAGTATCAAAATAAGTGGTAGATAAGATAGTAGATAAGACTCTTCAATATTCATTCTTCACGTCATTGTAAGGCCGTCTTTTTATTTATTTTTTTTTTTTTTGTAATTTTGTACACGTATGGCGTTGCATACATTATTAAAAGTAGCTGTGCATTAATGACAAATGCAAATGAAAAATGCAATTAAACAATCATTTCCACAATGGGCGTTCAGGATCCCGTTCCGGCGAAGCCATGGTCCGGCGACAGAGATGCTTCCAGACACGGAAACGTATCTCTTCAGGCCGAATTAAGCAACATGATAGGTGATGAAAATTGTCTCTATCTCAATGTTTACGCCAGAACCATCGAACCTTCGAAGAAACGCGCCGTGATGGTGTGGATACACGGCGGCGGTTTCTTCGCAGGTGCAGGTGACGAGTTGTTCTACGGTCCCGACTACATCGTCCTGAAGGATGTAGTGCTGGTCACCTTGAATTACAGACTAGGCGTTCTAGGTACGTTTGTTGAAACTCGCGAACAGATTGGGCGCAAAGCAAGTATAAAATACCGCAGCGGAATACCGCAACGGATCGGTCGAGCTGTCTATAAGACAGGCAGTGCGTTTTGTCAGCAGATTGTTCATGTTATTATCACGAGACAAAATAAAGTTTTTTTATCAGTAATTCCTGACAGCCAAAATTAATGAAAAACTCACATTCATTTCCGTGTCGTTCTTCTTGTTCTGTTTGCGATAAACTCTTTAATTATTCATCCTCTTCTCGATTAATCGATTAACGCAACTTGAACCGCGATTGATCAATTTACGTTATCAGCAAGAGTGGAAGTGATTAATCTCGTCGAGAATTCATTCGACCGATTATATTAATTAAATTTGATTAAACTTTTCAGATTTCTTTTTTTCTTTAATGTATAATTTTTTTAATATATGTATTAAATGAATAAACTTGTGCACACATTTAAAAAAAAAAAAAAACAGTAACGCGGAATCTCATGTCTTGGAATATTATACTAGTCTACTGCAATAATGTGTTATCGCGTATAAATAATGAAGTTCATTTTTCAAAAAAGAGAAACAAACATATCTTAGATTCGCAGAAAAGACGCACTATACGCTACAAATGATGAATGATTACGCGGCAGTCGCGAACAATCCATATCGCGTCCAAATAAAAGTTTATCACCAACTTATTAAGAGAAATCGGATTTTTGTGCATCGTTAATTAATAACAGCTCGATGAAACAATTACAATACAAAGAAAAAAAATCAAAGAGCCTATGGTCCAGGTTGAAGTTGGACGTTTAAAAAGTGATCGAAACGTCCGGAATACACACTGCGTTTTATGTTGTAATTATTAAACGTCCACCTTCAACTTGGTTTTTTTTCTATGCATCGTATTTTTTAGTTGAAGTTCGCGAGATAATCGCGGAATTTATGCAACATGTGCAGTAAATAGAATTGTTAAAAAAATATATAATTTCGTTTTTCCCACTCTTTTCATTACACGTTCCGCGTGTTCTCTTTCAGGTTTTTTGAATCTTGACGACGAGGTAGCGACGGGCAATCAAGGCTTGAAGGATGTAACCCTCGCATTACGATGGATCCAAAACAATATATCGAAATTTGGTGGCGATCCAAAAAATGTTACCATTTTTGGCGTGAGCGCCGGCAGTGCGATTGTGCATTTATTAGCTTTATCTCCGTTTGCCGAAGGTAATAGTATTACACAAATTTATCCATATGCAAGCTGCATTGTAAGACATATGAATAGATAGTTTTGTACATACTCACACATACACATACATGTATTGAATATATTTATATATTTAATATATAAATGATATGTCTATACATGTTCATATATTCATATATATATATAGCTTGTTATTGTAGCTTTTAACTAATGTCATCAAAAATAAAACAAATACATTTACATTTTCACATTGATATTTATGGTCGGGTCTTATATTTAGGTTTATCTTAAAATGATGTGTAAAACTAATGCTGGGAATAGACTATGCGCGCATTCGCGATTCGTAGCGATGCGCTACGTAGCTACGTAGTAGTCACGCGAATACACGCAAAAAGTGTGTTTGTATAATCGCGAATCACGAATCGCGAATCGCGAATGCGCGCATAGTCTATTCCCAGCATAATGAGACGGTCTGCATAGAATCTTGAGATGGTTTTAAATATCAGATTGGATCGGCTATAATGTCTGACAATTACGAAAACAGACATCACCTATTTGTCAATTTAAAATCAATTTTCATGAAATAATCAGAAAAAAGTGTCAATATATAGAGTTTGAAATAAAACAACAAACATATTTTCTCTTGAAGGAGATTAAGTAAATCGCACGCGCGCGTGTGTGTTGTTAACATAACCACTTTACAGGTTTATTTCACAAAGCTATATCGCAAAGCGGTGTCGCTTCAAATCCTTGGGTTTGGTCCGAAAAAGCTTTCGCGGTGAGCAAAGGTTTCGAACTTGCTAAGGAACTTGGAAAAGTGACCACAGATCCGAAAATCGCCTACGAGTTTCTCAAAACAGTTGACGCAAAAAAGCTAATAAAAGCACAACAAAATTTTACCCGTTCGCGAGAGGTAAATATATACTTAAAAAAACAAAAATAGAAAAATGTAAAACCAAATGATTAGATTTGAAGGATTTTTCTCACAAGAGTAGCGCCATTCACTATCTTCGCTCTTTGTTTTGCAAGATGCAAACAATCGCGATTACACATATATATAAAAAAAAAAAAACTAACAAATGAATAAAGTGTGATTTTATGATTAAAGATAATGTTTCGTTGATAACGCGTTCTAGTGCTTGCGAAAAATAGTTATCCCGTTTGTGCCGAGCATGGATACCGGCTCGTCAAACCCATTCTTTCCTGAACATTTAAACAACTATCTATCACGCGGAGTTAAAGTACCGTTTATTTTGGGAAGTATTGCTATTGAAGGAGCTATTTGCATCAGCAACGTTATGGCTCGTAAGTATATATTTGTTTTTGCTCTCTTTTTTATTAAATTAATCTGATATTGTGTATTTTTGAGCGGGGAAATTTTCTCTCATATTCGTGTCGCGCGTTATTTCAACAAGTTTAAAAATTTCAAAGTTTGCTTGTTTCTTTTTTTTTATTTGACAACACGATTGTTTGGACATTATTGTGTGTATAAATTAAAGTTTTCAATGTTTGTTTCCAGAGATAACCAAGGAAGAACTCGAATATATTAATGCTGACTTCAAGCGCACTTTGTCTCCCGCTATTCTGTCAACCATAGCACAGATACCGATCACGGTCAAGGAATTACAAACTTTGTATTTCGGCAATAAACCTGTGTCGAAAGAAACTTTAATGAATTACGTTGAATATTATGGCGACGCGATGTTCTATCGAGGTATTATGGAAGTGGCCGATGTTCAGGCGAACCTACGTTTGAACAACACGTATCTATATCAATTTTCGTACGAGAGCGAAAAACCTTCGATCGTCAAGCTGATATATGGATACACACTACCAGGTACATGTATACACGCGTTTAAATTTAAATTTTTAATTTAAATTTAAATAATTTTAAATTTTTAATTTAAATTTAAATAACTATTTAAATTTAAGAGTCTTTGAAAAATAAATACAAGCTTACATTGTTATTCAGAAGAAACTGACTAGGAAAAATATGTCGCTTCAAAAAGAATTATGCTGTTTTGTAATTATATTAATAATTTGTGAAAATGGTTTTTTTAATATAAGAGAGAAAAGGACAATGGAAAGAGATTTTGTTGAGATCGAGTTTGTAAAATCGATTTACGCAGTAATTGTTATTTGTAGGATCGAGTCATAACGAAGAAACCTGTTATTTGTTTCATTATCATGTTATGAAACAGTTTCGCATGTCACCACCCAAGCCTGACTCCAAGGATTATAAAATCGTAGAATATATAACGCAACTGTGGACAAATTTTGCAAAAACAGGGTATCACAGAGATTTATATTTTTTTTCTTACTGTTTTTTTTTTTTGTGTGAACATTTGAGAAATATCGATCGACAATTGTGAGGATTAAATGATTTTTTTTTATTCTTACTTTAGGGATCCAACTCCCAATATTACGGAAGTAACCCCGGTTAAGTGGACGCCACTAAGAAGTGGAGACACGTACGATTACTTGGATATTACCATTGACACCAGGATGAAAACCTTCATCAAAGGAAAAGAACGGTGGGACTGGGAGAGCAGAAAAAATCAATTACGTTAATCTCAGATTAATCAATTAATTTAATGTATATTTGCTGTATTAATCAATTAATATATTTAATTATTATTTTCTACGGTAGGTATGTTGATATATGTGGGATGATATTAATTTAGTAGAATTGTATTTAAAAAAAAAAAAAAGACACATGTTAAGTTCCGTCTTCGAGTACTGCGATGTGCGTTGTGAACATAGATTATATATAACCATATCCACAACGAAGTGAATAAACTACTAAAACTGCTGTATTACCGATTTAATTGGCAACGTGGTTCTTGTTGCTCACGTTGCCCAGACACACGTGTAATGTGTGTGCAATTCATAAAATTTGTTAATAAATTATGAAACGCAATGTTCGAGTGAAAAAAAAGAAAATTATAAAAATTGTATTTAAACTATTATTATCGATTTAAACTATTTATTTTAATATATTAATAAGAATGTATTGAAGGAATGTCCTCCGGTTCAAATTGGTTATTCCAAAAGAGTACGATGAGTGAATCGGCTATTGTGAACCAATGCAGGATGTATTGCAGTAATTAATCATGTTTATATGATTTGAACAAAACGTTTCGACTTTATTGTTTAAGTCTTCTTCAGTTGTACACAGAAACACAATATAGTAGATGTTACAATAATAAAAATTTAAATATATAACTGTCACAAGTTTTTATTATTGTAACATCTACTATATTGTGTTTCTGTGTACAACTGAAGAAGACTTAATAAAGTCGAAACGTTTTGTTCAAATCATATAAACATAATTAATTACTGCAATACATCCTGCATTGGAGAGAGATTCACAATATTTATTTTAATTTTGATCTTCTGATAGAATTTTATCTCTCGGGAAGAGTTCTTATGTTGTAACACATAGAACGGGAATGTGGGACTATAAATTTCGAGTAAATGTAATTACAAATAAGAAGCAAGAATATAATATAGATTTCAAAAAGAAGAAGGGTAATTGACAAGTCTTGATGTAAATAAATTATTATATAAATTCTTTGTTTTTTTAGATGATTCGCAAAGTTCTCTAGATGAAAATTTAGACCTTGC